TTCAATCCCAGGCACCACATAAGGTTTTCTCAAGCCCTGCCAAGAGTGAGCCCTGAGTACAGAGCCAGGAGTAAGCTCTGAACTTTGGAGGTATGGTGCCCACACCACCCACCCCTCAAAGTAGCCCACGAGCATGCTGGGAATGGCCCCAAAACAAAACAAACAAAAAATAGACATACATAATTACTTTTAGAAAAGGACTATTCCAGAGACTACAGTCTAATGGTGTTGATGTGAATTCAGACATAATTTTAGAACTTTTTTTTCCAGTATGCAATTTAGAAAGTGTTGGTCATGAAGACTTGTCATAGGAATTTACTTATTTATTTTTTGCCTTTGGTAATGATATGGGAGGGAATGTAAAGTGTATATGAGGGCTGCTTTGGAAGAACATGTTTTATAGCTGATTTTTACCTACTCATGAACCTTGTAAGAAGAATCATAAGGTCAGAGCTATGTATTCTACTTCATGCAATGAACAGAACAAAAACTAGAACCTAGACTTTCTGACAAAGAGGTATTTTCTTTATCTTGCCTAGCTATGCTGTATTATTTGTAGTAACCCAATCTTTTATCTGAATCTGGGTGAAGTAGCCAAAAAAGAAATTTTGAGTCCGGCCAATGAGGGGAGGGGAGTTTCTAGTAGAGGGCAGTTGGCTATTTTAGCTATACAGAGAAAATACAGGGCACTGTTGAATGTAATCTATAATAGAAATAACATAAGTATAGGGGGGAATGGTATTTTTTGATTGCAAAGGATAAGTGCTAGAATTGGTCTAAGACTTCATATAAAAGAGCCTTCCTAAATTTGTCCAGATAAATTTATAAAAATGGGCCAGGATAGATAGTTCAAAGACTGAGCATTTACCTTGAATATGGTGGCCTGAGTTTGATCTCTGGTCCCCTGCATGGTCTCCTAAAAACCACCAAGTGCAGCCTACCCTCCCATTTTCAAGCATAAAACCAGTATTAGTTTCTAATAGTCACCAAATATGGCTCCCAAGTAAACAAATAGCTTTATAAAAATGAATGAACTCTACTCTGCCTGTAGCATTTGAAATGTAATACTCCCTAGCTAGGTGGCAGAATAAATTTTATGACATCCCTAAAGATTTGTGAAAATGTAAGTGGACCTTTGGGCTGGAGTGATAGCACAGCGGGTAGGGCATTTGCCTTGCAAGTGACCAACATGGCCAACCCGAGTTTGATTCCTCTGCCCCTCTTGGAAAGCCCAGCAAGCTACTGAGAGTATCTCGCCCCCACAATAAACCCTGGCAAGCTGCCTGTGATGAATTCGATATGCCAAACATAGTAACAGTTGTCACAATGTGGACGTTACTGGGCCCGCTCGAGCAAATCGATGAACAGCGGGAGGACAGTGACAGTGATAAGTGGACCTTTAATTCAATTATTGAAATCCTAACCTGTATTCAGCATTAAATCCTGTTAGGTAGGAGACAGTAGGAAGTAGTTCAGGGTACCTGCTGTGTGCCAGATGCTTTCTAGAGGCAACTAGTAAACTGGTAAGTAAGTAAAGGCCCTCCCGTTGATCATCGATTTGCTCGAGCGGGCGCAGTAACGTCTCCATTGGAGACTTTGTTGTTACTGTGTCTGGCATATTGAATACTCTCGGTAGCTTGCCGGGCTCTCCGAGAGGGGCGGAGGAATCGAACTCGGGTCGGCCATGTTGGCTGCGTGCAAGGCAGACGCCCTACCCACTGTGCTATCGCTCCAGCCCAACTGAATTTTTTTTTTTATTTTTATTAGTGAAACACCATGAGGTACAGTTGTAGACTTACCAATTTTTGTGCTTGGGTTTCTATTATACAATGATCAAATACCCATCCCTCCACCAGTGCCCATTTTCCATCATCATGGATCTCACTATCCCTCCCACCCCCATTCCCCCCATCCCAAACTGCCTCTGTGGCAGGGCATTCCCTTTTGTTCTCTCTCTCCTTTTGGGTGTTGTGGTCTGCAAAAGAGGCATTGAGTGGCAGTCATGTTCGGTCTATAGTCTACTATCAACATGCATCTCCAATCCTGGGAGGATCCTCCAGACACCCTTTATTTAGTGTTCCCTTCTCTATCTGAGCTGCCCTTTCCCCTAGCATGCTCGGCTGGCCTCTAAGCCATGGAGTAATTCTTCTGGTACTTATCTCGGCTATTCTTGGATACTAATCTCCTATTTTGTTACTTTATAGGACTGAAATATTTTAACTGAAATGTCTATCTTCATGGAGCTTCATGTTAGTGAGAAGAGACAATAAAGAGTTAAAATTTATAGTATGTGTGAGGGAGGTAAATTATAAAGAGGAAAATATAAATAAGAATGGTAAAGAATATGTTGGTGGGATTTTAGATAAGGTGAAAATTGGAGGAAAGGTGGCATTTAGGGGAAAAAAAAGGCAGGAAGGGAGAAGATGCCATGGTACAGATATTTCAGACAGAGCACACAGCTACAATTTTTGTCAGGAACAAGACCTGAATGAGGAACAAGAGACTCTCTTGCTAAAGCAGAATAAGAAATAGTGTGATGGCCATGTATTAAGGCAATATTTTGTGTTGCCTTTTAAATGTTTGTACGAACTTAGGGTTTTATTTTAAGGCACGGAGCTATTGGAATGAGCAGATCAATTGGGTGATAATGTGACTTTTTAAAAACTAGATTAATCTGTGGTATGAAGAATTGACAAGGGTACAGGTATGAACAGCAGGGAGAACTGTCAGGAAACTGCTGAATGTAGTAATGTGAGTGGTGTTGGCTTGATCTAAGGTAGTCGTAGAAAGTGGCCCAGATTATCAACATAAGAGAAATAGATAAATTGGGTGTTAGTGAGAAATATTAAGCTTTAAATAAGAGTGATTGAAAAAAGTTATATGCCATTCACTGAAGTAGTAAAAAATGTCTGTAGCAGACTTCAAGGAGTGAGCAGTAAGTTCTTTGTTTTCTATATACATTTAAAGTTGTTAGTTCTAGTCCAAATGGGAATACAACACATATTCAATGGAATACATTGGTATGGAATACAGAATAACTTCAGTTGGAGATAAACGTATTCTTTGCATTGTGGGAGGTCCAGTTCAGTCTCTCACTTTGTAGCCCTCTGAGCACTAGAGCCTGGATTAGCTGCTGAGTGCCAGGGATGTGGCTCAAAAACAAAACAGTAAACAAACAAAAAAACCCTATGACTTCTGTTTTTTTTATGGATTAACAATATGAGACAGAAAATTATTCATAGAAACGAATGAAAATGAGGACACGAGTTACCAAAACTTATGGGACACAGCAAAAGCTGTGTTAAGAGGAAAGTTTATAGCTCTACAAGCATTCCTCAGGAAGGAGGAGCGAGCACACATAAATAATCTAACCTCACAGCTTAAGAGCCTGGAGAAGGACCAACAAAAGGAGCACAACCCAAACAGGAGGAAGGAAATAATAAAACTCAGAGCAGAGATTAACGAGATGGAAACCCAAAAAACAATCCGAAAGATCCATGAAACCAAGAGCTGGTTCTTCGAGAAAATTAACAAGATCGATAAGCCTCTAGCAAAACTCACAAAGAAAGGGAGAGAGAAAACCCTAATAAACCGAATCAGAAATGAAAAGGGGGTCATTACAACAGAAACTACAGAAATTCAAAGGATCCTCAGGGAGTACTTTGAGAAGCTTTATGCCACGGGACATGAAAACCTCGAGGAAATGGATAAATTCCTAGACTCCTACAGACTCCCAAGGCTGAACCAAGAAGACCTGGAATACCTGAACAGACCTATCACCATCAAGGAAATTGAAATGGTAATAAAAAGTCTCCCCAAGCACAAAAGTCCTGGCCTGGATGGATTCACTAGTGAATTCTTCCAAATCTTTAAAGAGGACTTACTCCCAGTCCTTTTTAAGCTTTTCCACAAAATAGAAATATCAAACACTTCCGAACAGTTTCTACGAAGCAAATATTACCCTGATACCAAAAGCAGACAGAGATACCACAAAGAAAGAAAATTACAGGCCGATATCCCTGATGAACACAGATGCAAAAGATTCTCAACAAACTACTAGCAAATAGAATCCAACTACTCATCAAAAAGATCATACACCATGACCAAGTAGGATTCATCCCAGGGATTCACGGATGGTTTAACGTTCGGAAATCAATCAATATAATCCATCATATCAACAAAAGAAAAGATAAAAAGCATATGATCATATCAGTAGATGCAGAGAAAGCATTTGACAAGATCCAGCACCCCTTTATGATGAAAACCCTAGCCAAAATGGGTATAGAGGGGACTTTCCTCAACATAGTTGCTAGTGAAGTATTAAAGAAAATGGCCCGAAGTTGGAGACTATGGATATTCATATAGTTGAAGAAAATAGAAAGATGGAAAAATAGGCAAAGATTGGGCTAGATGGATGGTACAGAGATTAAGGTACTTGCCTTGCAGTCAGCCAACTGCTGTCCAATCCCTTGCACCACTTATGGTCCCTGAAGGACTACTGGGTATCACCAAACCCACCCACAAATAGAGGTGTGGCAAGATCTAGGAGCTAAGCAGAGTAATTATATATAAAGAAAGGTGATTAGCTATATCTTGATTCTGTAGATAGATCACATAAGAAGTAAGATTGTGGAACTTTTATTTTTTTACATATTTGAATATATGTATAATGATTTATCTCTCTGGTTTTAGTTTTGTCCTTGGAGTTCCTACTCCCTTTCTAACAGAGAGAGAGAGAGAGAGAGAGAGAGAGAGAGAGAGAGAGATGCATGTGTGTGCACGTGTATGTGTTTGTGTGTGTGTACACGTACATGTACACAGTGCACTATCTCACAGTGGTTTGAAAAATGCTCCTGGCTCACTCCTTGGGGGACTATGTGCTACCAGGGATCTATCCCAGGACACCCTCTTGTAAAACATGCTCCAGCCCTTTGAGCTCTCTCCTTAGCCCTGCTATTGTCGTTTTAACTTTTGGATTTTGCCTGTTTTTAATGTTGCAGGAGAATCCAAATCCTCATATGGCTTTCCAGAAAGTGCCACGCCCAACAGAAGGATCCCACTTGCGAGTTCATATTCTTCCCTTTCCAAAGATTAATGAAACCCGCGTACAGGAGTTAATACAGGAAAATCTTGCTAAGAATCAGAATGCACCTCCTGCTTCACGAATGGAAAAGAAATGTGTTGTGCCTGCTGGTCCCCCTGTTGGTATGTATTTGTCTGTTTTAAAAGTAAACTTTTGTCAGGATAGAGGACTAAAAAAAGTTCACCGCTTGATAAATTTTTCACAAAGCAACAAACTTGTGTAACCAGAATCTGAACTTCATCAATACCCAGATACACTTCTGTCTACCAGTTTGGCTTATTCACTGTTAGCTTTTGTTTAGCATATTCATATAATTACTGATACAGTAGTTGCCTTAATGTAATTTTTTGGTTTTTTATAAATCAATTTTATATTTTTTTTCATGTTTTCCTGATTTCTTGCCCTTTTTTATTATTTATTTATTTATTTATTTTGAATACCCATCCCTCCACCAGTGATCATTTCCCACCACCACGGATCCCAGTATCCCTCCCACCCCCCCATCCCACCCTGCCTCTGTGGCAGGGTATTCCCTTTTGTTCTCTCTCCTATTCGGTAATGTGGTTTGTAAAAGAGTTAAGCCTGATTTTTAGGGAGAAACGTTGGATGATTTACTTTCCATTGATCACTTTGTATATAGGGAGATGTCACGCAGCCGCTAATGCAGCCGCGCGGTTTGGAGTAAAAATCCTAGTTCCTGCATGCTCCAGCTGTGCTTGTAGAGGCTCATGGTCACCGGGGGTCCATCTGGAGGAGGCGGGATGTGGCACCTACCCCATCTGGGATTTCCCGGTGATCTCAGCTCTTTTTGGGACCTGGTGCATTCTCTGGGAGCTGTGGAGCCTCCCAGCGGCCTTTCTTCTCTGCAGCTGTGTGCTGTAAAGATGGCACTGGAGGTTGAATAAGATTTATCTCTCTTTCTATAATTTGACTCTATTAGTTGGCACTTACACATTTGTTTACCATTTTCTGCTTGTCTTTTGGGGGGCTACCCAGTAGTATTTTTTCCCTTTCCTGAAATTTTGAGACTTTTCATTCTTAAGCTCTGTAGCTCTTTTACATATTAAAATAGATGGTTTTGCATTTTATTTGAATTTACTGATTCTGATAGTTATAGTTTCCTACAAATTTTCCCCTGTACCTGGAAGTTAAAATAATTTATAACATAAATAGTACTTATGTAGTATTGCTAATATTACTTATTATATGGCTCATTATCTAGTTCATTTAAATCAAACAAGATCGAAATTTCTTTTGTACCAGAACTAAAACATATAAATTTTTCATTTTCCTGATATCTACTTAATGTGAATATCATACTGTTTTGTTGTCATATGAGGCATTTAAATTTTAAGAGGTTAGTTTTCTGATATTTCTTAGAGGGGCCAAAGTAATGGTGACTGTCTGGAACTTGCATTTGTAATCAAAGCTTTAAAAGGAAATCCTGGGAAGCCAAGTACCCATAAACCAGAGCCATTACAAGTTATTGGAAAACTAGATTTAGACTATCATACAACTGGGGATTTCATCACCCCAAAGTTATCAGTTAGCTTAAGTGAGGAGCATTGCCAAAGAAAGATAATAATTCCCGGATAGACTTACACGAAAATGTGGGTTGAGGGAAATTTAAAATACTAATGAGATTTTTAGAATTAAAAGCTTATAAACATAGCTTAAAGATATTAATCTCTCAATAAAGTCATGATTTTCTTTAGAGACTAAGAATTTTTTTAACTTTAAATATGTATATATTTCTGAGGCCAGAGAGATAGTACAGAGCTTAAGGTGCTATTCTTACATGCAGCCAGAGAAAAATTGAAAACCTTTCCCTTGAGATAAAGCATTGACCCTTGAGATCAGGATGCCTACTGGCCCTACTCTTATTTAACATAGTATTGAAATTACTCACCACAGCAATCAGACAAGAAGAGATATCAAAGGGATCCAAACTGGAAACAAGCCAGATTACCACTATGTGCAGAAAACATGATATTATACATTGAAAATTCCTAGAAAGAATAAACAAATACACTAAGTGGATTGCAAAATCAATACATAAAAATCCCTGGTATTTCTGTACACAAATAATGAAGTAGAAGAAAAAGAAATTAAAATACTTAACCCCCTTCAAAGTAGTTTCCCCAAAACACCAGATACCTAGGAACCAACTAAATTAAACTAAATAAATGGGACTCCATCAAGTTTAAATGTTGTGAGCAGTGAAAGAAAGCTCTAGTTAAAAAGACATCCTACTGAGTGGGAGAAAATACTTACACACAGAATACCTCAGATGAAAGGTTCATATCCAAGATTGATAAAGGTCTCTCAAAACTCAACAAAAATATCCAAGGAGCCCATCTTCAAATGTGTCAACAAATGTGTCAAGGAGATGAGCAGACAATTTACCAAAGAAGACAAATGCCAATGGGCATATGAACAAGTGCTCGTCATCATTCATGATTAGGAAAATACATATTTTAAACAATGAGATATCATCTTATCCAGTGAGAACAGCAATAACAAAAAGTCTGGACACAGCTGGTGTTATTGGGGTTCTGGTGCGACAGGAACTCTCGTCCACTGTTGGTGGGAATTTCATCTGACTCAGCCTCTATGGATAGCAATATCCTAAAAATAGGAAAAGAACTACCATCTGACCCAGCAATACCGTTCTTGGCATCTATCCTACAAATACAAAAACATTGATTCAAAAGGATATCTGCACACCTGTGTTCTTCGCCACATTTGGCCAAGATATGGAAACAGCCCAGATACCCAGCTACAAATAATGGATCAAGAAATTGTGATATTTATATACACTGGAATAATGTGCATCTTTAAGAAAGAACAGAATCATGCAATTTGCCACTACATGAGTGGAACTAGAGGATGATATGCTGAGTGAAGACAGAAGGAAAGTGATAGATACAGAACAATCTCTCTCATATGTGGGACTTAAAGATATACAGCAAGGTAGCCACAAAGGTCCAAAGCAACATAATAAGAGAACTGTTCTACACAATTGAGTTGGTGGGGGAGAAGCTGGAAGGGAGGGGCATTGGGGCCCTTGGGGAGAGAGGTGAGTACACTGGTGGTGTTTTTAAGTTGGAATTATGTGCATGAGAGACCATTGTTTACAGTTTTGTAAACCTGGAATATCAGCTAATAAAAAAGATTTTTAAAAAATTCTTAATGTTTGAAATTTTTAATACCATGGTTTACAAAGATGTTCATAGTACAGCCATTTCAGGTATTCAGTGTTTGAACACCAATCCCACCGTCAGTGTGACCCCCCCCTCCATCAATGTCCCCAGTTACCCACCCACCCCATCCCCTCATCCTACCCCCTTAGCTGACACAAAATAATTTACTTTCTATTGCTTGTTAAAACTTATATCTCATGATGGTGCTACTAAAGTCATTGAGGATTTACTGAGCTGGGTAGGTGCTAGTTCTTTTCTCTCATTGAACCAAGTGTCCTTCTATGCAGCTTTCCCATCTGATTTGTCATGCTGCTACTGAGCTGTCAGTACTGTGAAAAATGGAGGTGTCACATGCTCCAGGTGTTATGGAACTGGGATGATTCAGTAGCAGGGCATCTCATCTGGGTTATTTATATGCCAGCAGAAATTAGGTATAGGTAGTGCGCTGGGCTTTCCAACTGTGTGGGACTCAGCCTACCCCTACCCCAAGAAGTCTCCAGAGATGTGGGCCCAAAGACAGGGCCCACCTGGGTCAGCTTAGCTGAATCATCTCTCCAAGATCAGTTAGCCGTTTATTTTCTGGCGGAAGTTGTGTGTGTGTGTAGAGCGCTGCTCCTTTGGCCAGGGTGGGGACTTGAGAAGGGTTCAGAGATCTCGGCTCAGAGTCTGGACCTACCTGGGTTGGCCCAGCTATGGCATCTCTCAAAGATTGGTCATGGAGCTGCCAAAAAAAAAATATATATATATATATACACATATATATACATATTTTAATTGTTGTTGCTCTCAGTATGCAAATGATAAAGTTCTTTGTAAAAATTATACTTTTTATTTTACAGATACGATTTTCTTTTCTCTTTAATTTTAATCATGGTGATTTGCAATACTGTTAATAATGGGTTTCATGTATACAACAGTCTAACACCATCCTCTCCACCAATGTTGGCCTTCCTTCTACCATTGTCTGAGCAGCTCCCCCAGCCCCAGCCACCCACCTCCTTCCCATCTCCCTGCCTTAGTAAGCTTTAGTTTTATAGACCAGATCTCTGATTCTCTTGCCTTTAGCTGAGAATCTTGAATCCAGCTTGCTGCTTGAACCCAGCCATGCTGTGGCCAGCAGAATTACACCAGAGCTTTAAATACTCTGCAGTGCTTAGGGTGAGAGAATGGGGGAGTGCAATACCAAGGATTTAATTTAGAACCTCATAGATGCCAGGTATGTGTCCTCAGCCCTTGGAGGTGACTCTCTGACCTCTAGATAATTTATTATAATTTTAAAATCTTATTGTGTGAGAGGCTCCCAAGTGGTACTTAGAGTGTTCAGAAACACTCAATCATCTGGACAAATGGTTTAATGTTAGGGCCTCTTGGTGCTACCTAGCAGTGCTGAAAGTAAACGTGGGCTTGCCAGGGGCAGTGTTTAGGGGGCCTCCAGGATTATTCTTAGCAGTGCCCAGGGGGTCTTGTAATAGCATATCTTTGCATATCTAAGTCATGAGTCTCCTACCCTCTGACTATCTCAATGGCCCTAATATAAATTAGTAAGCTCAAACATAACTTAATAAGTAATATAGCATCCTAAAGCATTGGAATGAGTTTGAGCAAATGAAGAATGGAATAAGATATAACAGGAGTCAGATTCTGATAGTGCTTCCACATCATTATAAAGATTTATACTTCAATTGAGAACACCACTTTTTAATTTTTAAAATTTTTAAATTTTATAAAGTAATTCACAATATTTTGATGACATTTAATATTTGAACACCAATCCCACATCATTTCACCTTCCCACCACCATGTGTCAGATGTTTCCATCCTGAACCTAGCCGCTCCCCCAAAGCAGAACCAAAATAATTTATTTTGTATTGTTATGAAAAAACACTGAAAATGCTATAAAAAAGTTTCCTTAAAGGAAAGAGTGTGAAGATTGTAGTATTTCACCCAGGGGCCATTCAACTATATGTATACACACACACACACACACACACACACACACACACACACACACACACATTTGTAAAAAAATATTTCCCTTTAAAATTGATTGCCTCCTACTTTAAACCCCATCAAATGTGGTGTGGTACCCTTGGAGTACGGGTGGTGTGAGGTAGCAGTGAATGTGGCCGTACTGTCCAGGAGTAGGTTCACTCGAGGGTGAGGCTCGGCTGGAACACGTGGAGAGCAGTTGTGAGCATGGTGATGGTTGAGTTCTGGAGGTTTTCGGCAGCTGGGCTGGGGTTTTTTCCCTTGCTGAGGCTTCTCTGTCTCTAGGTTATCTGGGTGTTGTCCTTTTGACCTTTGCTGTGGTGTATTTGTCAGGGTGTCAAGTCAGTTTCTGTGTAGATTAATGCATGTTTAGGTATAGATTTATCAAGATCAGTAGAGGAAGTAAACACAAATTCTCCTTGTTTGTATTGTCCCATCCTTACTTACTGTTTAATGTAGCTTAGCTTTTGTACAAACTGAGATTATCATTGAACCTGCCCTGTGAAATTGCTTCTTAATGAGCCATTGAATAATTTGATATTTCAAAATGTAAAACTAATTGAAGCATTGAAATGCTCAGTGCCATATAATAAGAAAAGCAATTAACGTACATGGTTATGTTACAGAACATAAACTGTGTTTTACTTACTTTTGTAACTGCCAAAGAAATTGAATTCTTTTGTGTTTTTTTTTTCTTTACTAGTTTCAATAATGGATAAGGTAACAACAGTTTTTAACAGTGCACAAAGATTGGAAGTTGTTAGAAACTGCATCTCATTTATATTTGAAAATAAAACACTGGAGACTGAAAAGGTAATTAAATGCTCTTTTCCAAGTTAACATTCTCATTTCTTCTTCAGGTTTATATGTTTATCTTGTCATCTGAATTCTTGATTCTATCCCTTTTCATTTATGATTCTTTAATACGCTGTATCATCATTTTAAATAGATGTCTAAGATTTAAAATCTTAGCCAACCTAGTTATTATAAGAACCGATGAACTCCCCCCCCAGAAATGATTTTCTTTTTTTTTTTTTTATTTATCATTTTTTTTTATTAGTGAAACATCATGAAGTATACTTATAGACTCACAAATTTTTGTGCTTGGGTTTCAGTTATACAATGATCAAGTACCCATCCCTCCACCAGTGCCCATGCTCCCCCACCACGGGTCCTATCATCCCTCCGACCCCCCATCCTCCCCCCCCCCCCCGTCCCACCCTGCCGCTGTGGCAGGGCATTCCTCCCTGTTCTCTCTCTCTTCTTTTGGGTACTGTGTTTTGCCAGAGAGGCATTGAGTGGCAGTCATGTTTGGTCTATAGACCACTTTTAGCATGTCTCTCCCACCCTGGGAGGGTCTTCACAACACCCTTTATTTGGTGCTCTCTTCTCTATCTGAGCTTCCTTCTCACCTAGCACATGTGGCTGGCCTTCAAGTCATGGAGCAAAATTCCTGGTACTAATCTGAGCCCTTCCTGGGTGTTAGTCTCCCGTTTTGTTGCTTTATGTTCCCCAGATGAATGCAATCTTTCTGTGTCTATCCCGCTCTTTCTGACTCATTTCGCTTAACATGATACTTTCCATGTAGTACCACTTGTATGTAAATTTCATAACTTCATCTTTTCTAACAGCTACATAGTACTCCATTGTGTAAATGTACCAAAGCTTCTTTAACCAGTCATCTGTTCTCGGGCACTCAGGTTTTTTCCAGATTCTGGCTATTGTAAAGAGTGCTGCAATGAACAAACAATTGCAGATGTCACTTCGACTATACCTTTTTGCCTCTCTGGGATGTATTCCCAGGAGTGCTATAGCTGGGTCAAATGGGAGATCGAATTCTAATTTTTTGAGAATCGTCCATACTGTTTTCCAAAAGGGTTGGACCAGCCTGCATTCCCACCAGCAGTGAAGGAGGGTCCCTTTCTCGCCACATCCGCGCCAGCACCTGTTGCTTTTGTTCTTGTGGATGTGGGCCAGTCTCTGTGGTGTGAAATGATATCTCATTGTTGTTTTGATCTGCATCTCTCTGATGATTAGTGATGTAGAGCATTTTCTCATGTGCCTTTTTGCCATTCGGATTTCTTCTTTGCGAAAGTTCAGAAATGATTTTCTTATCCTACCTATTTTGGCAAATTATTTAGAAGCTTGACACTTTAAATTAAATTTATTTGATTCATATAATCTAGCAAGAATAAGTAATGAATTACAGAAACTACTATTCAATGTAAATGTGCCTCTAAAACATGGGGCCTTTTTACCTTCTTCAGTAATATAGGGAGCTAGTAAACCATATAAAGGGTAATTTTTTTACTCTCAATGCTATATGATTCCAAGTCTCTTGTGATTTTAAGGATTTTTTTCTTTTTTTTTCTTATGGTGGTTGAAGTATTACAGACTACCTTATGTTTTCCTTGTTTTTCTCCTTCATTTAATTTTTTTTCAAATGGCATTATGTTCTCCTATTCTTAGGCTTCTTCTCTTCTTATTTACTCCTTTGTTTTGTTTACTTTTTTTAAAGTTATTGAAATTAAGCAAGCTTTAACTTTGTAAAAGAAATGTATTACACTCTACTGGGGAAGGCATTGTTATGGGTGATAAAGTGAAAGTTTCTGTGTATAAACTTATAGATTTCTTTCTGTTCCTTTGAATCTTTTGTTTTAGTATACTGTCAAAATGAGACAATATTGTAGTTCTGTCTCTCCCCTCCCCTCCCCTCTCCTCTCCTCTCTCCCCTCTCCTCTCTCCTCTCTCCTCTCTCCTCTCTCGTTTTTTGTTTTGGGGTCATGCCTGGCAATAAGGAATTACTCCTGGCTTTGCACTCAAGAATCACTCCTGGCTGTGCATTGGGGAACATATGGATGCTGGGAATTAAACCTCAGTCAGCTGTGAGCAAAGAAAATGCCTTTCCTTGTACTATTGCTCTGGCCCCAAGATTGTAGAATATTCTAGTCATTATTAGAATAAAACAGTGGTTACATCGGTAAGGTAAAGGTAAAGGCCCTCCCATTGATCGTCGATTTGCTCGAGCGGGCCCAGTAACCTCTCCATTGGAGACTTTGTTGTTACTGTGTCTGGCATATCCAATACTCTAGGTAGCTTGCCGGGCTCTCCGAGAGGGGCAGAGGAATTGAACTCGGGTCGGCCATGTTGGCCGCTTGTAAGGCGAACGCCCTACCCGCTGTGCTATCACTCCAAGTTACCTGTGTTTCTTGTTTTTCTGGTTTTTTTTTTTTTTTACTCTTCTGTTTATTCTTGCCACGAAAATGTAGCAAGCAGTTAGGGGAAACGAATGTCTAATTGACAGTAACCTTATCCCATGATCTGATGCACAGTCATTTTTGTGACCAAGGTTTTTCACCAAAACTTGATGAATTTTTTTTATTGCAGTTAATGTTTTAAATGTTTTATATGGACCTGGGAGTCCATGTAAAACATTTGTCTTATGAAACATCATAAGACACTCCTTCCCCATTTTTCATAATTGCCACACCATATTTGATAGAGAAATATATATATACGTATATATACATATATATGCCTTTCGGAGAGCCTGGCAAGCTACCGAGAGTATCCCGCCTGCACGGCAGAGCCTGGCAAGCTAGCCATGGCATATTTGATATGCCAAAAACAGTAATAATAATGAGTCTCATTCCCCTGACCTTGAAAGAGCCTCCAATACGGCAGCACTGGGAAAGATGAGTAAGGAGAGGCTTCTAAATCTCAGGGCTGCGATGAATGGAGGTATTACTGGTGCTCGCTCGAGTAAATCGAAGAAAAACGGGATGACAGTGATACTGTGAATGTTTTATAAACTAATTCTACTTATTATAATTCTTCTTACTATAATTCCCATAAAATAATTCTACTTTTTATTTGTGTTGCTTTATAAATAAAATAACTATAAATCCACCTATCACATATTTTTTCTTGGTAACAGATCAACTCTCCTAGGAATTTAACTCTACTCATAACTCTGTTAAATACTTTAGCAGGATACACTTGAATTTTCATGTGATTCAAAATTGTTTTTTCCTAATGGTACGTTTTTGTTCATTTCTGCCTCTCTTAACATTCAGACCCTCCCTGCTGCACTGAGAGCCCTTAAAGGAAAGGCAGCAAGACAGTGTCTTACTGATGAGTTGGGTCTGCATGTTCAGCAAAACAGGGCAATATTGGACCATCAGCAGTTTGACTACATCATAAGGATGATGAACTGTACTCTACAGGTAAATTTTAGTTCTTTTATGTAGTTCCTTTTAATTGAGAAAATTATCCATTTTTCCAGGAGATTTAGCAATTACTAAGATGATATCAAATTCTTGATCCTTCCACGCTGATGGGATATACAGCTGGTAGCCTTACCATTTATTAGTTGGCATAAATACTTAGGGTTTTAATTTCTTTATTTTCTCTTGGAAAATATTGATTTTCATTACAAATTTGATAAGAAAGCTTTCTAAATATGAAAAGTGAGCTTTAAGCGTTCAATTAGAAGACCAGGAATACCACTGAGGGATAGAAACTTATTTGTGTGAGGCACTGGGTTCAATCTCAAAAATAAACAACCCCTAGAACTTTTAGTTGTATATTTTCATCTGTATTTAGTCAACTTTGCAGTTTGTTTTTAGTTATATGATTAAGAGAAAAGGTAAGAATGGTAGATAGTCCAAGTTATTACTCAGTTCATTATTCACTGAGTACTCTATGTCTATAAATTATGCAGAAATAGTTCTAAAATGGCTTCAAAATGTTTATTTTTTGTTGTTATTGTTGTATTTTTGGATTCATGTTGTATGCATTTTAATCTTTTCTATTTAGGCACCAGGATTTGTAAAATTATTCATAGTTGAATTTCAGGTAGACCGTTTCCTACATCTCTCCCATTACCAGTATCAACTTTCCTCCACCAGTGTCCCCACTTACCCTCCTACCCCCCAGCCTGTTTCCTTGGCAGGCACATTTTTAAGTTTGGTTATTTGGGCCTCATGCTTTCAGTTTTGTTGGTTCTATAATTCAAACATATAATTAAATAACCCCACTTCACCATTAATGTGATTGTGTTACTTTCCATCTGCCTCTTTTTCCTTTCCACCCTTCAGATTCTCCCTGCCACCCCCACCCCGCCCATCTTCAATTCTTTAGTCCTGATTTTAGGGTAATCTAGGTATCCTACCTTTGGATGTGTGTGTATGTTCTTACACACGCATCATCCTCGAGTCCTAGTTTTATTTTTTATTTGAGTTATATTTCTAAGAGGGGAAAGGCATTATTTTGATTGTTTGGGGGTTTGTTGTTTTGCAGCATTCAAATATTCCTTCACTGACAGCTACAAAATAGTTTGTAATAGATTATTTCACAAATTCACAAAAATAGATTCTATCTTCATTTTAGTACACGCTGTTGTTTAGCACTATATAGAGGCTCTTCTCAGTTAAAAATGGGCTCACATGTGATATTTGTATTTTAATGGGCTATTTATTACCAACTTGGGATTTATTTGTGTTTATATTCTTGTTGTAACAATGTCACTTGTGGGGATTTTACATGGCATTCTGAACATTTTTTCACAAAAGCTTAGAGTTTTAAGGCAGAGAGGCCAAACATCTGTGTTGGTGTTTTAAGAAAGGAACATTAATTAAATGAACTGATTTGTAACTGGTGATTCAAAACCTTTAGTAATTTTTGATTTTCTTGATTTTGAAGTTTTTCTCTCTTCCATGCCCTCAAGGGAAAAGTAAATGGAACATGAGTACTGCCAAAGGGGTGTTTTGTTTATCAACCTCTTTTAATGACAAGATAAATTTTTAAAGTACTGATTAATAAAGGCCACAGATTACTATTATGTATATTTCAATTATATAAGAATTAAAAGTGAAAACTCAAGGTATATGGAAGACAGTATTGCTAAGTTGATCTATAGATTCAATACAATTTCAATCAATACTGCAAAAGACTTTTTCTAGAAATTGATTGGCAGACTTTAAAATTTATAGGGCAATGCAAAGACTTTAGAATGGTCAAAATGATCTTGATACTTGGGTATAACTTAAGCATGGACATATTTGCAAATATAGAAGTCATGCCAAGCATCCTCTCAGACCACAATGGATGTGAAGGCAGAAAACAACCATAAAAAAGAAGACAAGGGAAAACACTCCCAACAAGTGGAAGCTGATGAAAACACTGCTAAATAACAACTGGATCAAAAAGAAAATTGAAAAAGAGATAAAAGGATTCCTGGAAAATAAGAAGAATGAAGAAGAAAAGAATCAGAATTTGTGAAACACAGAAAAAGCTGTACTAAGAGGGAAATTCATAGCAGTACAAGACTACTTTAGAAAAGAGGAAAAAGCTCAAGTCAGTGAATCAAATACACATCTGTAAACAAAAGTGGAAGAAACAACAAATGAATCCCAAAAGTTGTACAAGGAAATAATAAAATTAGAGCAAAAATCAATGATATGGAAATCAAGAAAGCAATACAGAGAGTCAATGAAACAAGGAGCTGTGTCTTCAAAAGAATAAATAAGATAGGGACCAAAGTAGTGGTATAGTGGGTAGGGCACTTGGTTTGCATTCAGCCAACCCGAGTTCAATCCTGGACACCACATAATGGTCCCCCACCCATCGTCAAGTGTGCCTTATCCCACAAAAATAAAAAAATAGACCCGCCTTTGACTAAACTCATGAGGGAAAACAAAGAAGATGCTTAAATAAATTGAAGCAAAGTTGAAGCTGAGTCAAAAGGGGTGAAATTGCAGCAGATCCCTCACAAATCCAGATATTGGAGCTTGAGAGATAGTATATATAGTGGGTAGGCTGCTTGTATTGCATGTAGCAGACCCAGGTTCAATTCCCATCAGCTCATGTAGTCCCCTAAGCCCACCAAGAGTGATTCTTAAGCACAAAACCAGGGGTAAATCTTGAGCACAGCTGGGTGTGCCCCCCCTGGAAAAAAGGAAAAAAGAAATCCAAGATACCATGAAAGGTTACTTATGAGCATCTCTATGCTGTTCTTAGAATCTTTAGATTTTTAGATCATGTAACCTCTCAAAAATGAATGAGGAATAGTAAACCTGAACAGACCAATCACAAGTAAGGAAATTGAAATAGTAACTAAGAGTCTTCCCAAGAACATAATTCTGGAAAGATGGAACAGTGGTTAGGGTTCATGCCTTACACACAGACAGCCCAGGTTCTTCAGTTCTTACTACTAGGAGTGATCCTTGAATGTAGAGCCAAGAGTAAGCCCTGAGGATCTCAAGGTGTGACCTCCCAGGAACAAAAAACAAAAGCTCTGGTTTAGATGGGTTCACTTTTGAGTTTTATTAAAAACCTTTAAGAAAGACCTTTATTTCAAACTCTGAAAATATCAGAGAAATGGAAGTCTTTTCTAACACTTCTCTGATGCCAACAGTATATTAATATCCAGAGCACATAGAGATACTACTTAAAAACAAAATTTCAGACCAATTTTATGATAAGCATAAATCCTCAATAAAATCTTAGCAAATCAAAAAAAATAAAATGGAATTCATCCTAGGGTTGCAGGTTGGTTCAGCATATGCAAATCACTGCACTGCACTGAACTGTTCTCCCCTTGTTCATGGATTTGCCCAGTAACATCTCCATTGTGAGACTTTGTTGTTACTGTGTTTGCATATCGAATGCAACACAGATAGCTTGCCAGGCTTTGCCATGTGGGCGAGATATTCTCAGTAGCTTGCTGGTTGTCCGAGGGGGCGGAGGAATCAAACCTGGCTCGGCCAGCTGGCCATGCACAAGGCAAACGCCCTACCGCTGTGCTATCGCTCCAATTAATGTAATATACCATATCACTAATAGGAAAAGTAAAAATTATATGATCATGTTAATTTAATCATATTATATGGATCATATCAATTAATGCAGGGACCAGATCCAGCATCCATTCATGATAAAATTGTCAACAAAATACAGGTGGAAGGAACCTTCCTCAAAATAGTCACTGCCATTTATAACAGACCAAAACCCAGTATCATTCGCAGTGGGGAGAAACTGAAAGTATTCCTTCTGAGATCAGGCACAAGGCAAAGATATCCACTGTTTCCACTATTGTTTAATATTGCATTGGAAGTACTAGCAACCACAATCTGGTAAGAAAATGAAATCAGAGCTTAAAAGATAGTGCAGTGGGTAGGGTGTTTGACTTGCAAGAGGCCAACCTGGATTCCATTTCCAGCACCACATATGGTCCCCTGCACATTGTCAGAAGTTATCCCTAAGCACACAAACAGGAGTAAGACTTGAGCACTACTGATTATCACCCAAAACCGAAGAAAAAGGGATTCAAATTGCTAAAAAGATCCTAAAGAGTTCACAAAAAGATTCTAGAAACAATAAACCACTAAGTTTGTCAGCTACAGAGTTAGCAAGCAAAAACCTGTCTCATTCCTGTGCACCAATAATGAAATAGAAGACAAAGAGATCAGAAAGTCTATACCATTCAGTATAGTATACAAAGACATCAATTACCTAGGACTGAACAAAAGATGTGAAATGGCTATACCATGAAGACTCTAAATCACTTAAGAGATAGAAAACCTTAGAAACTGTGAAGATATCCCATGTTCTTGGATTGGAAGAACCAGTACTGTTAAAATGACCATCCTACCTAAATTACTATATGGATTCAATACAATTCCAATCCAAATCTTGACATTCTTAGGGCCAGTGTGATAATATAGTGGATACAGGACTTGCCTTGTACATGGCTACCCCGGGTTCAATTCCTGGCATCCCAAATGGTCCCCTGGGCCTTGCCAGGAGTGATCCCTGAGCACAGAGCCAGGAATAAATCCTGAACACTGCTGGTTTGACCCAAAAACAAAACAAAACAAAAACAAAACAAAAAACAACTAATCTTGACATTCATCAAGGACTTAGAATGGTCAGTAATAAGGTTTGTGTGAAATCATAAAATAACTCAAACAGCTAAAGTCATACTGAGAAAATCAGGAGGTATCTCATTGCCTAACTTGAAACTACATTATAAAGCTGTAGTTATCAAAATAGCATGGTACTAGGATAAGGATAGATTCTCTGACCAATAGATTATAATCAAGTACCCAAAGGCAAATCTCCAGATCTATGGTCAGCTAGTTTTTGACAGAAGAGCTAGTTATAGGTAGTGGAGTAAAGATATCCTCTTCAACAAATGGTACTGAGAAAACTCAATTCTTATCTC